ATTGCTATGTGACCAGAAGGGCACTTTACCTCTGTGGTCTTCCTCCCTCAAATCCAACACCCTCATCAAAACACGAGAAAAACATTAGGCAAATCCCAATGGAGAGACATGATACAGAACACCTAATACACCTCAAAACTGTCAAGGTCATCCAACATAAGAAAGCTTGATTAACTGTCACAGCCCAGAGGAGTCTAAGGAGATATGTTGGGTCCTGGCCAGGCACGGTGGCTCATGCCTGTAATCCCTCACTTTGAGAGGCTGAAGTGGGGAGTTTGAGACCAACCTGAGCAATGAGTGAGACCCAGTCTCTACAAACAATTACAAAAATTAATCAGGCATGGTGGTACATGCCTGTAGTCCCAGCTACTCAGTGGGCAGAGGTATACGGTTGCTTGAACCCAGAGTTCAAGGTTGCAGTGAGCTATGATCAAACCACTGCACTCCAGCCTATGAACAGACTGAGACCCTGTCTCTAAAAAACCAACAAAACTTAAGAAAATGTCATGTGGGATCTTGCAGAAAGAGATCAGAAAAATAAAAAGAGACATTAGGGAAAAACTGAGAAAATCTGATTATAGACTTTAGTTAATAATGTCTCAGTATTGGGCTGTGGTTGTGGCTCAGTGAGTAGAGCACCAGCTCCACATACCGGGGTGGTGGGTTCAAACCTGGCCTTGGCCAAACTACAACAACAAAAATAAATAAATAAATAAATAAATAAATAAAATAATGTCTCTGTATTGGTTCACTAACTGTGACAAGTACAGCAGTTAGTTTCCCCATCAGATGTCAATAATAGGGGAAACTGGATATGGAGGGACATACAGGAACTCTTTGTGATATCTTCACAATAATTCTGTAAATCTAAAAGTGCTCTAAAACAAAAAGTTTTTTAAAAAAAACAACTATATCTGTCTTGGAGAATAGGGATTGTCTGGAGCAGGGGTGGAGGAAACGAAAGGCCCAAGTAGAAAACCAAGGCAGCATCCAGGCTGGAGATGACTGAGCCTCGACCCGGGCCATTGTGGGGTTCAGAAAAATGGGAAATTTGAGGTTGTTTCAGAGACACAGGATCTGCAGGATGGTGTGTTGATAAAGGGAAGATTTTTGAGGACTCCCAAGGAAGATTCCTAAGCTGCCATTACTGAGCTGGGGCGGCTGGTGAAGGAACAAGCCTGAGGACAGATCAGCCAGGTAGATCTGTCCTCTAAGTAGGGGGTTAAGTAGGGGACCAACAGCGTTTTTTAGCAGCAGTGCCATTTTAGGAGGGCACAGGCAAGGGGGACAGGAGCCTCTCATAATTGTCATAGGGCACAATGGCATATGTGGGGATGATCCTCCCCAGTTTGAGGAGCCGGATCCCAAACGTACTGTATGGCCTCTAAGCAAGTCCTTGACCTCTCTTAGCTTCAGTTTTCACATCCGCGAAATAAGGATCAGTTTTCACATCTGTAAAATAAGGATCAATAATGTCCCACTCACAGGCTTGTAAGCAGTCATCAAATGAACCCAGCTCAGAACCTGAAACATAGTAGGTAGGTGCTCAATAAACACTGCTCATTCCTTTCCTCTTCCTACCGGGTCTCAGGTGGAGAGAGAGCCGCCTGTCTCTTTAAATGATACAAATGAATTGCGGGAGGTGTAGTGGGGAACATAAAAAGGAGCCGCGTCTCCAGCTCAGCCAATCAGCGCGCTGGGCTTGCGGCGCTGGCCGCCTAAATAACCCAATGGTGGTCCGCGCGGACTCAGAGCCCGCCTCTGCCTCACAGCCTCGTCGTGGGGGTGGGGACGCTACCGGCCACGCCCCGGGGGCGGAGCCAGTCGGCGGCCGCGCCACAGCCGCTGAGGGAGGGGCGGGGCGCCTCGGGTGTCAGCTACCGAGCCGCAGGTGGCGCCAAGCGCTGGGCTCCGACCGTGCTGAGGAGGTGAGTGCTGGTCCCAGGAACCCCCCAGGAGTCGCCCAGTCAGCACAGCCTCCCACGCTCAACGAGCTCCGCAACCTTGGCGGCTGCGGCGGGCAAAGGCGCAGCGGAGCGCTAGGGATGGCGAGAAGGAGTGGGGGGCTACGCGCCGGGCACCCCGGCTTCTCCCCTGTGGTAATAGAGGGTCCACAGGAGGAGATGAGAATTCGTCCTCAAATCCCCTGTCTCCTGGCCTGAAACCGGAGCGTGCAGTGGGGCGGCTACAATGCCGGACCCCTCCCCAAATCCCTTTATTCTAATTCCGGATCCAGGTCTGGGTTCTGGGACTGCAAAGATAGGGGCGTCACTCCCCTTATAGAGCCTATGAATTTGAGCGGCCAAATAGGAGACCACCCCCAATCTCCCTCTTCCTAGCTCTGGCCTGCAGACCCTCAGGGACAGATATGAAGGACCCATTTCTTTTTTTCTCCTACTGTGAACCCCTATCCAGGCCTGACTACTGCAAACTGGGGATTCCCTGGTGACTCCTAGACTGCCCCATAGTAGCCCCCCCACACCTGAAGGATGGGATGGGGGCATTTCACTGGCATTCTCTGTAGGGACCCCAAGGTTGGAATTCTGGGGAAAAGGTCAGTGTGGGGTTGCCTGTCTTGGCAGCGACGGGCCAACAGGGCCTGGAAGAGCCTGGAGCTTGGACTTGAAGGGGGGGGTCCCTCTTTCAGTGAAGGGAGGGGGTTGGGAGACAGTGAGCATCTGTTCTTGTGGATTAAAATAAATTGAGGTAAATTAGGATCTTGCCAGAGGCTGGCTGTGAGTGGGGTGCGCAGGAGGAGTTGGGGGGTGGGTGAACCCTCCATCTGCCTCAAATCCCCCGAGTCACCTGCTCCAGCTGCACTAGGGACCAAGAGGCAGCATCAAATGGACCTGCTTCACTGGTGACCTTGGGCAGGTGACAACACCTCTCTGAGCCTTGGCTTCCTCTTGAGCATTGATTGAGCTTGGAAGCTGGGGACCTTACATTCTACAGATTCTGAACCCACCAATGCCACCTTTTGTCAGATTGTGATTCTCCTCTTTTGCTTAAGATGTGGGTGGTTTGGGGTTGAGAAAGCATTAGACTTGGAGAAGCCGCCTCCAATGTGCCTTGCTGGTCTCTGAGCCTCAGTTTACTGTACTGCAAAATGGGTCGATGGTCATTGGGACTGGGGGCAGGGTCGGGGCTGATCTGCAGACAATAAAACATGGGACCAAGCTGCAGTCATTAGAACAGGGGCTCAGGCCACCCTGGTCTCACCGGTGGGACTGCCTGGGGCACACCCTGACCCACATACCATCACCCACGCTAGGGGTGAGCCTGTACCTGGGTGGGGTTGAGGACAGAAGGAGGTGGGAGGCACTATCCCAGCCCATCCTGTCCCTAGGAATTCCATCCTAGCAGTGAGCACAGGAGTGAGCACTGGGCTATGTGTTCAATACTCGCAGGTTTCAATCTGCTTCTACCTATGTGTGGTTTTGTCTTTCTGTGCCTTGGTTTGTTCTTTTGTGAAATGGGCTGAATCCCTCTGGGGAGATCAGAGAAGACTGGGGGCGGAAGGGAGAGCTGTAAATGCAAACACGATCATTATAATATTAATTACAATACTAATGCTCATTAAATGGGGTTCCTCTGACTGGGAGGAGGGTATGAGAGAGTGAAGTCTACAAAGGGTGTTGCCTGCTAAGACTTAGCATCTGGCAAAGCCAGGTACACAGTGCCGAGTCGGTGTTTGCCAAGTGAAGTGACAAAGAGGGAAGTGACCAATGTCAGGAGGGCTGGAAAATTCCTGAACATGAGCTAAGATGCCCACTTGATGGTGGCTGAGTTGGTGTGTGACCTGAGGCATATGCCTCAGTTTCCTCATTGGGATACACACTCCCTTTAGGCACTGTTGTGAGAATCAAGCCAGATAGTATAAGTGATCACAATCTTCCTGGCAGGAGACATGAGAGAGTTGGCCATTGAAATGCATTAGTATCCACTTGGGCCAAGAATCTGGTCACTGGGAAGGAAAAGAAAACCCCCAGACTGGCCCTACTGTGTGGAAACCAGAGTCCAGGATGGAGAAAAATGCCAGATCCTGTTTCACAGGATTTTGGAGGCCGAGAGAGGTCAGGAGCACCTCAAGGTCATGCAGCAAGAGGTCAGGGATGCTGGTCAACGGGCAGGCCTCACCCTGTTCCCAGGGTTAGGATCTTAAGGGCTGTCATCTTTGCTGACTGTGTTCCTGTTCTGTTCTATCTGCTCGCAGGCTGCTCACATGCCTGCCAGGATTTCCAGAATTGGTGCTAGGGAGGCAGGGTGGGGGGTCTCTTGGTCAGCTGGCAACATACTGTGTGACCTTGGAGAAGTCTGTGTCTCTGAGCATTGCCCTAAGAATAAACAAGCTGGGAGATGGGGTTCCAACAGGGCCAGCTTCCTCATCACACCCAGTAAATTCAGTTATGTGAACTTATTCCATAATACCCAGTAAGCACAATGTTTTGGGCTTACAGTACTTTAAGGGCCCATAGTGATGTTTTAATTTCTTTTGAAGTCAGAAGGGAAGAAAAAAATGAACTTTTGGGTAGAAGAAAATATTTTTGTATATGACATTAATATATTTGCCTTTATGACAATGCAGTTGTAAAATATGATTTTAATTTTTTTTAATGGAGGAAGGGGCCCATGAAAGTAAATGTACCTTCCCCTTTCCAAGTGGATTGCCCTCCCCAAGCCTCAGTTTCTCCCTCTGTGAAGTATGTGTCATTAGCCCACCATGGATTGGAAGATGTTTCTGAATTCTCAGGTCAGGGTTGGTTTTTAGTTGTGGGTGCTGTTATTTCTTGACTATTGTCATGATTATTATTTTTTGGTAATAATAGCCCCAGGCTGGGGGCCCCAGGTTTGAGTGCCTTAGATTACCCAGCCATGGCCTGTGTGGGGTTCCAGAGAGGTCCTAGAGGTGATGATTGGGTGGGGGAGGAGAGGTGGCGGTTAGGAGGTGGGTGGGGCAGAGCGAGCTTCCTGTCCCCACCATGCACACAGGCCTCTGGTGCTGACGGAAGTGGCAGGCGCCTTGTGGCATCTCCTGGTGCCTGCTGGGTCAGACAGGGCCCCAGACCCACTTGCTGCCCTGTTGGGTGAGTTTGAACCCTGTGCTAGGCGGCATCTATGTATCCTCCTTTCTCCTACTTTACCCTCTCAGAAACAAGAGGGAGGCAGGCCTCTCTGCCTGTCTTTGACTCTGGGTTTAGAAGAAATAGCAGGTGTCACTTCCTGGGCTGGGCAAGGGCCTGTTTGGGGCCACCCTTTGCTCTGCTCATTGGCCCCCTATTATAGCTTTGAGTGGTGAAGTAGGTTGAGGGGTGGTAGAGGGAACCCAAAAACTAAGAACCACATGTTGTGGTTCCAAATAGGAATTCATTGACAGACGGGCCAGGGGCAAAATCACAGTCACCTGGGGGAATGAATGTTTGACTTCTCTGTGCCTCAGTTTCCTCATCTTGAAGTTGGGACTGTGTTTCATGGTGTGGTGTGAAGTTTGAATGGTCTGGTACATATTAAGGGTTGGGCCCAGGGCCGTACACATAATGGTGCTTCGTGTGCATCTGTGTGTGGGTTATGGGGCGGGGTGAGGCAATCTAATTAGAAGTGTAAAAACAGTACTGAGATTCTTGGGTTTCTGGGGAACTTGAGAGTGTGGTGGCTCCTGGGATCCTAATGCTTGGCAGAACTTTGTCTTTCTGCGCTGTCCAGTACAGCAACCACCAGCTAGCTCCATGTGGCAACTGAACCCTGGAAAAGAGGTTGGTATATTTTTTTCCCAGTCAATGCTCTTTAAAAAAAAAAAAAAAAAAAAAGAGGCTGGTACAACTGTGAAGTTGGGTATCATTTTATTGAATTTTTCTTAGTTTAAAATTACATTGCTATGTGGGCCTGTTAGTTTACACATCATTCAGCACAACTCTAAGGGATTTGGAGAAGCTCAGGGACCAGGTTATAGCCAGCGTTAAGAAATGATATGAGAATTTAGGGCTTTTCCCCCTAAGGAATGTCAGCCAGGTTACCTCCACCTCTAGCCCCATCCCACCAGACTAAGCTTCCTCAGGGGCTGCTCCTAGGGCTGAAGTTGTCAGTGGCCCACAGCATTGCCCAGCACAGGGTAGTGGTTAGGAACATTTGTTGAAATAAAGAATTTTTTACCTGGTGAACTTCTATTCATGCTTTAAAACCGTAACTCCCATGAACCCTCCTTTATAGTCCAGTCCTTCTTCCACCGTGTGGAAATGGATGTCTGTCTCTCTAGACTGGGGGCTTCTCTGAGGCCAGGCCCAAGGCTGAATCATCTCAGGGACTGAGATGGTTTTGGTACTGAATGACTCACAGAGTCCATGGACTGGTGTCTGAATAACAAAGGGTCACGTTAAACAAACTTTCTAGATTAGGTAAACTGAGGCTCAGAGAGGGGCCCCTTTGCCCGAGGTTCTGCTTGGTTCTTTCCCAGTGAGTCCCAGGGAGCTTCCCCATAACTGTGGTCACCAATCCTTATCCCTACTGCCATGGTGCCTCCTAGGCTCCCAGCTGCTGCTGAGCTGCTTGCAGGGTCATGAATTATGGATGAGACCTGCAGGCTCCAGTGACAAGCCTGGCCTCAAGAACATGCCAAGGACACTGTATGTTCCTCCCCTGCCAGGAGGCCTGGCCTAACCCCCTGTGAAAAGAGAGCTGGGGTCCCCCACAAGACACTTCTAAACGTTCCTTGTTGTTTTGCAGATGGGGAGACTGAGGCACAGAGCTGGACAGTGACTCAGACACCAGGTGAACATTAACTTTACAGGGCAGGGGGCACAGGGGCACCAGTGGCAGCTGGTTCACCATAGTGATGGGGACCTCTACATTCCAGGGGTGTGCATGAGATGGGAAGTGTTGTAGAGGGGTTCAGAAGACCCTAGGGGACGGAGCCTGATCCACACGTGGCTATCACAGCTCCAGAATCCTTCTCTCACCAAACACTTTCCCTGCACGAACCACCTGGAGTGGAACTGAGAGCTCAGGCTGGTTCAGGGTGCAAATCTCCTGTCACTTCCTGGCTGTATGACCTTGGCAAGTGACTTCCCTTCTTAAGGGAACAGGGGCTTATTTTCCCCAGTCTGTGCAACCCACTCTGGCTGGTTTGACAGCCAGATTGGGGCTGACCCCAGCACTAGGGGCTTATGTAGAGTGGGAGGCAGGACACAGAGCCTTGTTTGCTATGGGACAGCTTGGGAATAGCCCAGAGGTGTGACATCTGTGAAATTGCTCAAAGCTTCACTACCTAGGCTGAGGCTTACCTAGCACTGATCTCACCCCCTACCATGAACTCTTTTACATAAAAACCCTAACTTGCATGCCCCTTCCTCTAATCTAGACTCCCTTAAGCCCTTGTTCCTCTTCTAGTACAGCCTTGACCCTATGGGATTGGGGGCGTCCAGTTCTGTCCCCCTAGACGGAATTCTCTCAAGGGCCCTGGCATACTCAGTTCCTCCTTCATCCTTTCCCTCCCTCTTCCACAGGGGGGGAACTCCTCTCCTCAGGCCCACACTGGCAATGACCCTATGGCTTAAACTTGCCTCTCTCTTCAGGCAGGCAACTGGACACTGGAGCTGTGGGGGTTTCCACAGAAGCCATCAGGATGTCGTATTTTGGGGAGCATTTTTGGGTAAGGCCTACACTTATGTTGGTGGGGGCTCCTGGAAGGGTAGTAGGAACTTTGATGGAGATGGGGGACTGGGCATGTTGTGGGCAGAGTCTTGGACAGGTCTCCAGGGCATAGAAATTAAAGTGGAAGAGAATCAGGCTGAGTTTGACCCCACACCCCCTAGAACTCACAGGCCTTGTGATCTTGGCATAGCCATAGGTTGTACCACAGGGAAACCATGTCCCAGAGTAGGAATCTCTTATCTGACCTAAAGATGCCCAGTGAAAAGGTGCAGAGTCAGAGCTCAAACCCAGGGCCAGACCAAACTTCCAGGATCCAGAGTCATTCCAGCCAGGGAATTTCCATGTCCTTCTCATCCTGGAGAGTTTGGGGGTTTTCTTGGCTTGACATGACCCTTGCATCCCTCTGTGGTCCAGGCTGGGGACCACCTACTGTGGCCCAATGTGGGGCTGAGTGAGACAGACTTGTTTTTATTCATTCATTTCCTCCCTCCCTCCCTGCCACCCCTATCTCAGTCAACTCTGGGAGATGCCGGGGCCTCAGAGAGGCTCCATCCCAGCCCTGGTCCCCAGGGAGAAGCCCCTCGTCTGGGCAACTCAGTCTGGGTTACCCAATCTGGTCATCCAGACACCCCCAGCCCTGCCGGATCAGGGCTAAGCCCAGCACTGGGGGTCTGTCCAGAGTGGGAGCCAGAACACGGAGCCGTGTTTGCTGTGGAACAGCCTGGGCAAAAACCCAGAGGTATGACATTAGACAGCCTGGGCAAGATTAGGAAACAGGGACTCCTCTTGCAGGGCCAGAGTAATGGGAAGCCACAGAGGATGTGTGAAGAGGAGAGGGCCTGGAAGTCAGAGAAGAAAGCCCCTTCCCCAGTTGTAGGCTCTGAGCTTGCAGAGGAAGCCCGTTGCTAGGTGACTGGTTGCCCCTGGCAACAAGCCCCATTCCCTCCCATTCTCCCTCCCCAGCTGGGGCTCCTGTTACTGGCATTTGCCTTCTTAAAGGGGCTGTGCCCCCTTTCTACCTGCAGAGAGAGGTCTGACCTCTGCCCTTTCTCCAAGGGTCAGACTCCCCAGATTATCTTCTGAAAGGCTGTGTGACCCCCAGGAAGGAGCTGTGCTTCTCTGATCCCCTGTTAGCTCCTCTGTGTAAGGGGAGTTGACCATTTCAGGATCAAAAGTTGCCCACATTTTGGAAACCTGACAGTGGCACCTACACGTATTTTAAATTCTTTTTAATTGCATGAGGCATGCAAGGTCTCTGCAGAAAATTCAGATCAGCAAAGAGAAAATAGAAACCACCCCCGACTCCCCCACCTCACCCAAAGATAGCCCGGTGCAGAGTGGTTAAGAGCCTTGAATTCTGGCTTCCAATTAGGCTCTGCTGAGAGCCCTTAGACATGTGGACTTGGGCTTCCTGCGCATTAGTTTTCTCATTTGGGAATAGGGCATTAAATTCCTGCCTTATCCCTGGACTCAGGAGGACTCCCATGACATGTCACTAGCTAGGTGTCTTTTAATCAGTTGTTTGTATTAGAGCTGCCACATATGTCTGGCTCTTTGCTGGATGATACCGAGGCCCCAGATGCCCTTAAAGAGGTTTCCATCATAGGACATCAAGCCAGACAGGGATGTCCCAGTTTTGTTAGGCCAGGGCAGATCCAGAGGCATAGAGGACACTAAGGAACCATTAGGGAAGCATGAGCATGTGAGGGATATGATCAAGCTCTGTTGGAAAGATTCTTCTTGGGCTGGCACACAGGCAAAATTTGAGTCTAGAGGTTTTGGTAGGATACACAGGCCCAACACAGCCCCCTCCTAGGACCCTCAGCTGCCAGCCCAGTCCAAGGAAGGCAGACACCACTGGGGAGTTGCCAGGTCTGGGAAACAGGCCAGTGGTTGGCTCCGAGTCAGCCCCAGATGCTGGCCTGGACAGCGGTGCCTGGTGCAGCTTCACCCGAGGATCCCCTGGGTCCAGCACTGTGCCAGCCTCATCTCACCAAGGACCTTGGAAGTTGGGTGCTGTCACTGTCCCAACTTGTCAGACAAGGAAGGAAATTGAGGCCTTAGGAATGAAGTCACCAACCTATAGTGACCCAGGGCATGTAAGGGGGATTTGATGCCTGAACTCTGAAAGTACAACTCAAAACATGAGAAAAGAGAAAATATATTTCTGATGAGCTGATAAGAACAAAGTTAGAGAAGCTTCTTAGAGAAGGTAGACAAGGTAGACCTGACAATGATCCCTGAAAAGTGGAAGGATTTGGATGAGTGGGAGGAGAAACAGGCTGGTGAGTTGGTGGCAGGAATGGCCTGGGCAGGGGTAGAAAGGCACTGTATGTCTTTTTTGTTGGTTTTGCTGGAGGGGTTAGGAAAAAGCTAGGAGATGAAGGTGGAAAGAAAATTCTAGGCTAAGAACTTAGACTTCAGACTCTGGTGGGCAATAGGGAGCCACTGATGATTCTAGAATGAAGGGAGACCATTGAGAGATTCAGGCTTGAGGCTGACCTAGGTCTGTTCCAGTCTTTGCTTCAATTTCTCCAATTATGCACCAAGAGGGATTATCTAGCAGCAACTTCTGGCTTTAGCTTTCAAAATTTCTGGGTACTAGGAGGGTGAACCAGCAGGTTGGAGGAGAATGGAGGAAACCACCATTTATGGGGAGCCTGCCAAGTGGTACCAAAGGGATCACTTCAGTGATTTGTGTTGGGACATAAATAACATCAGATCCCCCTGCAAGCCTCCTATTTCAGTCCCAATTACAAGGCCTCGTTTGGTGCTGAAATGTCTCCAATCCCCTCAGAACCCAGCTGGTAGCCCTTTCAAATGGACAACTTAAGGTTCAGGCATGATACCCTGCATAGGCGACAGGATCTGGCCAGCATTAAAACATAATTGTTGCCTCATTTTTTCCTATTTTCATCATATGGCAGGAGGTCCTGATTTTCCATTTAGAATAGCAGTAAAAGTTTTCCTTTTTCATGAATGCATTTGGAACAGAAACACGAGCAAACTTAAAGTGTTAACTAACAATATGATGAATTATCAAGAAATAGAGTTCCTTTGAGGCTTTGGGAGATGCTGATGTGGATCATCCTGGTTCTTACTTCATCCCCACATAAAAGGTGGTTGATTCCTTGCCCTGTCTTACTGAGGAGCTATTAAAAGTTCAGAGAACCGGCTCGGCGCCTATAGCTCAACCCGGCTAAGGCGCCAGCCACGTACACCTAAGGTGGCGGGTTCGAGTCCCCAGCCCGGACCCGCCAAACAACAATGACGGCTGCAACCAAAAAATAGCCGGGCGTTGTGGCGGGCGCCTGTGGTCCCAGCTACTTGGGAGGCGGAGGCAGGAGACTCGCTTGAGCCCAGGAGATGGAGGTTGCTGTGAGCTGTAAAGCCATGGCACTCTGCCCAGGGGGACAGCTTGAGGCTCTGTCTCAAAAAAAAAAAAAAAAAAAAAAAAAAAAAGTTCAGAGAACCAGTGAATTGCCCAGTTCACACAGCACAGCCCTAGCCTCTTCTGCTGTGATGTTCCCAGAACTTGGGGGAAAGAGGTTGCATGTAAAGCATTATCATGCTCCAGGGCAGAGGCCCAGTTCACATCAGTACTAGTAGGTAACAGCAGAATAACACATTCATTCATTTATTCAGTAAACTCAAAGCCTCACTCTGTGCTGTGCTTTGCTTGGGTCCAGAGAGAGAACTCAGACCTGGATTGTTCTCTGGATTCTCAGAGAAGGAGTTTCTATGTTGATGAGAACAGAAAACACAACTACAAGCCAACACGGTGGCTCATGCCTGTATACCTAGCACTCTGAGAGGAAGAGAGAGGAGGATGCCTTTAGCTCAGGAGTTGGAGACTAGACTGAGCCAAGAGTGACACCGTGTCTCTACTAAAAATAGAAAAATTAGCAGGCCTCATGGTGTGCACCTATAGTGCCAGCTACTTGGGAGGCTGAGGCAAGATTACTTGAACCCCAGAGTTTGAGGTTGCTAGTCTGAGGCCATGTCACTCTGTCACATGGTTAGAGTGACAGTGAAACTCTGTCTCAAAAATTAAAAATTGAAGAAAAGAAAACATAACTACCATATACAGGGTTGTTTTGGTTTACAAAACTGAACAATTGTAGGGTAATTTGGGTTTCAGGGTGGGATCCAGAAGTTAGAACCAACACATGTTTTTCTGTACAGATGCTCTCTGGTTCAGCTTCTTTCCAAGGTTCATGGTTTCTACTTGACTTCCAGTTATCTCCTGTGAGCACATAATTCTTTATTTATGGAAAGACATAAAGAACAGAGGGGAAGAAACAGACAGAAACAGAGGCAGAGAGACACAGAAAAACAGAGAAAGAAAGAAGGAAACACAAGAGAGAAAGACAAAGAGACTATGAACAAATAAGATTGGCCAACCTGGACTATGGGACCAAAAAAAAAAAAGGAAAGAAAGAAAGAAAAATCCTTGGTTTCTCTCTGATTGGAACAACTCCAGCCCCTTTTACCAATCCCTGTGGCTAGGGAGAAATGCAGCATGCTAATTGGTTCAGGTCTGAACCAATCCGGACAGTCAAGGGGGATGGACTTCCAGGAGTTTGCTCTTTGACCCATGCCCCTGTTGCTGGGCAAGTTAATGTTTTCTCCCGATTCTTTCTGAATCTCTATCCCCATCCCCTGCAGGGTGAGAAAAACCATGGTTTTGAGGTCCTGTACCACAGTGTGAAGCAGGGACCCATCTCCACCAAGGAACTGGCAGACTTCATCAGGGAGAGGTGAGGTCCCTCCAGTCCTGCCCACCAGTGGCCATGCCCATAGCATATGATGGCACACCTACTTCATGGCCATGCCACACCCTGCTCAATCTGGGCCTACATCCCTGGGGGTTCCAGGAACTAAAGTACTTTGAAGACCCTAGAAACCAGCCATCCTCAACCCTGTCAGCCCCATATTCCCTTATAAACAAAAATTACAAGGTTTGTAATGCCTTTTTCCTGAAGAAGAGCTAATATAACCTACTTTCTGTGAGGGGGGAAGGATTTATAAAACTTCATCTCATGCCTTGGGATGATAAATGAAAACACATGATGAGATAATTTACATTTCAGCTTGTCAATGCTCAGACATTCACATTCCAGGGAAACATAATGATTTTGAGTTGTAAGGCAAACTCTGGTCCCATGCATATTTGTTTTAACATGCTACCTCTAACAAAATTAAAGTTCTGGCTCGGCGCCTATAGCTCAACCGGCTAAGGCGCCAGCCACGTACACCTAAGGTGGTGGGTTCGAATCCCCAGCCCGGACCCGCCAAAC